TTTAATTAAAGACAAAAGTTATAATTTGGGAGTTTTAACTAAGAAATTAAGTTCAAAGTTTTCTAATTACTTTTACTAAATATCAAGCGATTTCTTCAGATGAAATTATAATTTCGTTCGAATTAATAGCGTATAGTTAGGAATTAAATTAACAAAATTAGGAATTACCTTAGCATTTAAATTCTATTGACTTAAGATTGGAATCTTTACTTACGAAATTAACGTAAAAATCTTCTAATTACGTTTAATTAATTTCACACTTGTTAATTCCTTAATTGAAATCAAAATTCGGTTCAAATTTTTCAATTTTTAACTAAGAAATTAAGCTGAAAATTATTTTTAATTAAATTCTAGATCGTGAATTCCTTAATTCAAATTAAAATTCCGTTCGAATTGAAAACATTCAGTTAGGAATTAAAATAAAAAGTTAATTATTTCCTCTAATGAATTAAAATCGGGATTTTTAATTAAAAAATTAGGCGGAAAATGTTCTAATCATTTATAGTTAATTTCAAGCTGGAGAATACCTTAATTAAAATCAAAATTCCGTTCAAATTATGCGCTTACAGTTAGGAATTAAATTAAAATCAGAATAATTGCCTTTGCATTTAAACTTTAATGAATTAAGATTGGGGTTCGTTTACTAATTAACGTTTTCTAATTATATTTAGCTAATGATTGTCTTAATTGAAATCCAAATTCCTTTGAAATTACGAGCTTGAAGTCCAAGATTCTCAAATTATTAAATTCGATTTAAAAAAACAAAATTCCTATAGTTAGGAATTAAATTAGAAAATTAATAATTACCTTTGCATTTCAAAAACTCATAAATTCTTTAATTGAATTCAAGATTCGGTTCAAATTGAGAGCACTGGGGGCCTACAATTAGGAATGAAATCAAAAACATAATAATTTCTTTTGCATTTAAACTCTAATGAATTAATATGGGATTTTCAGCCAGAAGCTGAACATGTTTCAATTATGTTCAGTTAATTTCAAACTGGTGCAAAATTTTATTCCAATTGAGAGCATCAGGAATTTAATAGTTTTCTAGACATGTAAGCTCTAGATGAGAAATTTAGCTCAAAGATTCCTAATTATTTGTTGTAATTTCAAGCTCGTAAACTTTTTAATTGAAATTAAAATTTCGTTCCAATTAAAAGCCCTACAGTTAGGAATTAATACAAAAACTTAATGATTTCTTCAAATTAGGCTAAAATTTTTCTAATTATTTTTAATAAATTTGAAACTCAAGAATTCCTTAATTAAAACCGAAATTTCGTTCAAATTAAGCGCCTATAGTAAGGAATTAAAAAAATGACAATAATTTCCTATGCATTTAAGCTCTCAATAATTAAAATTGAGATTTTTAACTAGGAAATTAAGCTTAAAGTTTTCTAACTATTTTTTACTGCATTTCAAGCTGTCAAATTCTTTAATTGAAATTTCGTTCGAATTCGAAGCTCTTATAGATTCAAATTGGGAGTTATACCAAAGAAACCAAGCTGAAAATTCTCTAATTCTTTTTAATTAATTTCAAACTCGTGAATTCTTTAATTCAAATTTAAATTGAGTCTTCAGTTACGAATTAAAACAAAAACTTAATCATTTCCTATAATGAATTAGAAGTGGGGTTTTTGACTACAAAATTAGGTTGAAAATCTTCTAATTATTTCTAATTAATATTAATCTCGTGATTCCTTACCTAAAATCAAAATTCCGTTTAAATTAAGCGCCTACAGTTAGGAATTAAATCAATGGCTTAATTTCGAGCTTTTAAATTCTTTGATTGAAATTAAAATTAAGCTCAAGGTTTTTAAATTACTTATCACTGAATTTCAAACTCGTGAATTCTATCATTCAAATCAAAATTTCGTTCACATTGAGAACCTACAGTTAGGAATTAATATAAAAACTTAATCATATCGGCTAATTAACTAAAATTAGGATTTTGATCTAAAAATTAGGCTGAAGATCTTCTAATTATTTTTAAATAATTTCATGCTCATGAATTCCTTAATTAAAATATAAGTTCTATACGAATTGAGAGCCAACAGGAAGGAATTAGATTAAAAGCTTTCCATTGCGTTTAAATTCTATTGAATTAAGATTGGGATTTTAACTTATGGACGTATTCTGATTATGTTTAGCTAATTTATAGCTAGTGAAATTTTTAATTGAAATCAAAATTCCGTTGGAATTGGGAGCTTGAACTCCAAAATTCAAATTATTAAATTCAATAATAAAAAACAAAATTGAATTGGGAGTCTACAGTTAGGAATTTAATTAAAAAATTAGTAATTACTTTTGCATTTAAATTTTAATTAACTAAATACAGGATTTTTAGTTACGAAATTAACCTAAATTATTTTTAGGTAATTCCAAACTCGTGAATTCCTTAACTGATGTTAGGAATTAATTTAGGCTCTAATGAATTTCTAACTAAAAGCTGTTTCGATTCATTTTACTTAATTTCAAGCTCGCGAATTCCTTAATTCAAATCGGAATTCCATTCAAATTGAAAGCCCAGAGTCAGAAATTAAATTCTAGACTTAAAAATTGCCTGTAAGCTCTAACGAATTAAAATTGGTAGTTTAGTTACCAAATTAAGCTGAAAATTCTCAAATTATTTTTAATTAATTTCATCATCAAATTCTCTAATTATTTTTAATTAATTTCATCATCACCTTACTTGCTTAATTAAAATCAAAATTTCTTTTGCGGTGTTCAGTATCATACTCGGAAATTAAAACTAAGATTTTACGGTTACTGACATTTAAGCTCAGTCCCAATTGAAAGCTTAATTTCGAAAATTAGGCTCAACATTTTTTAATTTAAAATCCTCTAATTACGTTTTAATTCTTAATTTAAGTAATTCAAAATTCGAAGTTGAAAATTTGTGGAATTCCCTCATTTAATAAGTCTTATCTGTACAATGAGCGGGTGCCCCGTCATGTTGAAAGAAAGTAGGTACATTTAAAGGGGATCTTAAAGGTTTGAAAAACACGATACAATAATTATCAATCGAATCTCCACGGTTTTGTCCGTGTGAGCGAAACGATAACGTGATACAGAAGCATTAACAGCACATTGAATTATAACCATAGAGATCTTTGAAATTTATTAGACGATAAATTAGTCGTTAAAAAGTCCGATTTGAAATTTAATTTATGTATCCATAAATGTGAGGATTATGACGAATTTTACGGACAGAGCTATAATTTTTAAATTTTTTGTTTCCTCGCCCCCAATCACTTAGACGCCATTTGTTATCGCCTATTAAATTGTAACTCTGCGGGACGTAATTGATTACTTCCGCTTAACAATTTCTAAAAAATACGATTCAACTTTTTATCGGATCGAAGATATGTACAATTTGATTTCTGTTGAAAGGTTAAAGATTTCAAAATTTCAGTCAGAGGTTCGAAACATTTTTTGAGGTTTAGGGATTCTGAACTTTGTTTGAGTAGTAAAAGGGATTGTCGTTTGATTCTAACAAAATTTTGATTTCCCAGTTTAAGGTCACGCCTATAATTTATTCTAGCTTAAATGAAGCTCAATTTCTAATTGTAAACTGTTAATTTCAAAAGAATTTTAATTGCAATTAATTAATTCAAAAGGTTGAAGTTAACGAGAAATAATTAATCACTTTGAGCTTGATTTCCTAGTTAAGGAGCACGCGACTAATTAATTCTAGCTTAAATGAAGCTTAATTTTTAATTATACTCGTAATTCAAAAAGAATTTCAATTGCAATGAATGAATTCAAAAAGATTGACGTTAATGAGAAATAATTAACCACTTTGAGCTTGATTTCCTAGTTTCGGGTTACGCGTCTAATTATTTCTAGCTTAAATGAAGCTTAATTTTTAATTACACTTGTAATTCAAAAAGAATTTTAATTGCAATTAATGAATTCAAAAAGGTTGAAGTTAATGAAAAATAATTAACCACTTTGAGCTTGATTTCCTAGGTAAGGGTCACGCGACTAAGTAATTCTAGCTTAAATGAAGCTTAATTTTTAATTGTTGACTCTTAATTCAAAAAGAATTTCAATTGCAATGAATGAATTCAAAAAGGTTGAAGTTAATGAGAAATAATTAATCACTTTGAGCTTGATTTCCTAGTTACTGATTACGCGTCTAATTAATTCTAACTTAAATGAAGCTTAATTTTTAGTTATAAACTTTTGATTCAAAAAGAATTGTAATTGCAATTAATGAATTCAAAACCTCAAAATTAATAAAAAATAATTAAGAAAATGTTGAGCTTGATTTCGCACGCCTATAATTCATTCTAGTCTAACTGACACTTAATTTTTAATTATTTACTTTTAATTCAAAAAGAATTTTAATTGCAATTAATGAATTCAAAAGCTTAAAATTAATGAAAAATAATTTAAAAATTTTGAGATTGGTTTCCCAATTAGAGGTTTCGCGTCTAGAATCGAGTTCAAATTTAAATATAATATTTTTTTAATTATGATTTTTAAAATCACATACCTCACTCAATTTTCAAAAAAATCATTTTTTTAAATTTTGATCTTGAGTCTTTGATCTTTTTGAACCACTAAATCTAGTAGTTTTGTTTTTTTTGAAATCTTGAGTTTTTTTGGATTTTGAAAACTCGGCACAAACCGACCAAATAGCGGACTAAAAAAGAAAAAAACTTGCGAAGTTAAAAGTGTTTATTGCGTTTTTTGAAAACGATTGCAGCAAAATGTCCACAGAACATAATCGTAGTAGCGGAGGTTTCCACGACCAGGGTCATTAGGATGTCAGAGACTTCTGGGGCAGCGCAGTTTCAATGTTGAACGAAAAGTCCAACGTTTCGCCCGACTTTCGTACGGATCTCCATCAGGACAAGAAAGAAACTAACAATCAAAAGTTTTATTTTTCATTGTTAGTTTGTTTCTTGTCCTGATGGAGGCCTTTACGAAAGTCGACGAAACGTTGGACTTTTCGTTCAACATTGCCCCGGTCCTACCCCCGAAGTCACTTGCATCTTAATAATCGTTGGCCAAAGTTGGGGTTGATTTAATTACCATCCATATCCGCGCGCCAAACCGAAGGGAGCGGCTACGGCGCCGGCGGCGTATCCGAAGGTCGGCGCGGCGTACGAGGAACGCGCGTAGGAGAGAGGGGAGGCGAATGCGCGTCCGAGAGCCAGAGGAGCGGCGGCGTAGTGTCCGCCAAATCCGTAACCGGCGGCGTATCCGCGTGCCAGACCGAACTCGTGACCCAACAAAGGCGCTGCGGCGACGGGGTGATGAGCGCGGAGGATGGGCGCGGGTCCAGGGATGTGCGACGTGGAGAAGCCGTACGAAGATGTGACCACGGGAGGAAGATGATCGGCTCTGGCGGTCGGCGGTACGCTGTAGGTGATCGGCGGCTGTGGGATGGCGATCGGCGTGTGCTGCACGTAGGTGCGGACTGATGGAATTACCGCTGGCTCCAGGTAACCCGCGCTGACTGCGGCAACCGCGACGAAAAGGATGGCCAACTGCAAAAAATTACTAAAAAAAAGCATTAACCAGAAAAGGGTTTACCTTAGCGAACATCTTGCTGTTTCTGTACTTCCTGGTGACTGAATGCTTCTTCGGTGGTAACGTTGGCTTTTATACGCATAGTGCGACGCGACGTTCTAATTTTGGATTGTTGCATTTACTTAGTTAATGAGTCTTTAATAACAATTTAATATTGTGCGTTTAAAATTGTAACTTGTTCGCACAATTATTGAAGACCCCTAAAGCATGACCAGGTCATTATCAACGACCTGGCGAAACCCAAATGGTTTAAGGGGAGAAGCAGCCCTCATAACATCTCATTTACTGGGGGGTCTTAACCTCTAAGAATGTTCCTTGAAGGGTCCTGATACCACCATTCTAAAATGAAGTTGGTATCAGGAGAGCATCGAGAGAATCCAATAAGGGGGAAGTTTTTGGTAACCATGGGGTGCCTGCCATCAAATCTGATACTCTTGCTGTTTATGTGATTCTGAAGCAACGATCAGAGTACCAGGGGAGCATAACATGTAAGATTATACTATCAATAGATATTACACTTTTTGCGTTACTGTGATCCTGATACCATATTTTAAAGAAAAGTTAATATCAGAGTGATGCTAATGCAACAATTTTGCAAAGCAAAAATATAATTAGGAGAACATCGTAAAAGGTGATTCTGATGCATTCATTTTAAGGGCGAACATTGTACTCGAAGAGTGTCAGGAGAACCAAATACGTGAGTAACATGTTAACACTTAAGAAGGATTTTTGTTTCTGTGATCCTGGTGCGATAACTTTTAAAGAGAACGTTCTATTGGGAGAACATACAAAACGGTATACGTGATTAGAATTATCCTGACGCAACATTTGAATCAGTATCAAGGGAACGGAAGAAGAAATTTCTGTGATCCTAATGCAACAATTTTAAAAGTGAATTGTATCAACAAGGCAATTGTAATAAATACAACTCTTTAGGACACTATGGTCCTGAACCAAAAGAAAACAGGTCATTACCAAATTAGCACGCCCTTTTTATATTTATGTGATCCTGATATCACAATGTTAAAAGTGATTGTATCAGGAAAACAGAATATGTCAATGTGCCTGTATTTTTGTGATCAAGCGAAGTAAATATGTATTGAATTAGGAGAACAGAATACGCGATAGCATGTTTACCAATCTTGCTTTGACTCATAAATTCTTAAAATTAGAAATGTTTCACGTGTACGCGTACGTTGTACTTCCAAATCTTACGTTGCTGCGATCCTGATACATTGATCAAACAATTTTCCAAAGAAAACATTATATCAGGAAAACATAACAAGTATGAAAGTATCTGTCAAGAAGTTTCACCCATTTTGCGATTATGAAATTCTGATCGACAATTAATAATGAGAATATAATTATTAGGAGAACATAATATGAACTTTGTCAATCAATCTTGTAATTACTGGAGTTTTACAAATGTTTCTTACGTTTCTGTAACGCTTTTAATGTTCTTACATTTAATTCTTTCTCATTTGTGCAATTCGGATACAGTAATTTTTGAAGAGAAAATTAAACTATTTCACTTTTCACTTTCTGAGACCCCTCAAGTTTCAAAAAATGTCTTCTCCGAAAAGAAACCCAAGTTCATTAACAGATAGTGCTGACAATAAAAACTAAAATTGCAACAAATTATTCCAAATGGTTTCCTTTTAGCTTAGTATGTTCTCCTGGTAGTCTAAAAAGATACTTGACGAATTATTAGTAGCAAAAAGATATCCTTGCACGTTATATTCTTGCGACAAAAATGTTCTTGATGTGTTTCTGAATTCCTCCCGAGTCCCGACGTTATAAAAAGACTTCCGTATTCAGTATGCTCTCCTGGTTCTGAGAGGAAATTTATGTAGGTACATATTTCTTCTGATATAAATAGTTCGCGCTGTTATAAATTGTGTATTCGTGAGTAATAAATAATATTTTTATTGTTAGAACACCGCGCGAGAATGATTCTACTGGGTGAATTGAAATCAATATCAATCTCGGTATCAAGGGAACGGATGAAGGGATTTCTGTGATCTTGATGCAACAATTTTAAAAGTGAATTGTATCAACAAGGCAACTAATAAATACAACTCTTTAGGACACTGTGGTTCCTGAACCAAAAGAAAGCAGGTGATTGCCAAATCAGCACGCCCTTTTTATATTTATGTGATCCTGATATCACAATGTTAAAAGTGATTGTGTCAGGGAAACAGAGTATGTCAATGTGCCTGTGTTTTTGTGATCAAGCGAAGTAAATACTTAGGAGAACAGAATACGCTATAGCATGTTTACCAATCTTGCTTTGACTCACAAATTCTTAAAATTAGAAATGTTTTACGTGTACGCCTACCTTGTACTTCCAAATCTTAGGTTGCTGCGATCCTGATCATTGATCAAATAATTTTCCAAAGAGAACATTATATCAGGAAAACATAATAAGTATGAAAGTATCGGTCAAGAAGTCTCGCCCATTTTGCGATTATGAAATTCTGATCGACATTTAATAATGAGAATATATTAGGAGAACATAATGTCAATCAATATTGTAATTACTGGCGTTTGACAAATGTTTCTGTTTCTTACGTTTATGTAACGCTTTTAATGTAGGTACATATTTCTTCTGATACAACAATGGGAAAAGATCTCCTCTGTTATCATGTTCTTCTGGTAGCCAGGAATGTTGTAGCGAACACTTCAGAACCCCCGATAGACATCGAGGCGCCATGAACGATTAGTCATCGGCGATAAAAATCGAAGGTGTGACGTAATCTTTCCGGGGAATATGACGTGTTTGTTCGAGAACATTCTAGAAAGACTGGCAAGCGTTCGAGGGCTGGCGAGAAAGAGGAGAGTTTGCTATATAATCAAATCGAATTGTGGTTCAGTTCAGTTCCAATTACGACGCCGAAGTCATAAATAGTTCGCGCTGTTATAAATTGTGTATTCGTGAGTAATAAATAATATTTTTAGCGCATTTTTTAAGAATTAAAAAAAAGTGCTATTGTTTACGTTTTGTCCGTCCATGCATGCGTTCGTCTGTCTGTCCGTCCGGATCCACTTCTACCGTTTTGAACTACTTCTAGGGGAATGGTCCTAGAGTCCTGGGGCCCCCACGAATTATTTCCTGAGATGTTGTTTTTGAAAGTAAAACGTGCAGGGGGGGGGGGGGATAAACATATGTTCTACCCTTGATGGTATTCTAATGAAAGGTCTCATCGAAACAAATGGGTTTGTACAAACTATAACTGTCCCCTGGACTCTTTTTCGAGATCAGGGAGCGACGGGTCCTGAGGGGGGGGGGGGTTAAAAATTAAAGTTATCTCTATTCTAATTAAAGATCTCAAGGAAAGGAACCGTTTTCTACCAACTACTGCTCTTCTTTCTGTCTTTTTATCAAAGTACGGGGTGGAGGGGGAGAGGAGGGGGGGAGTTGGAATTAGTTTTATTCTTCATGGTATCTAATGAAAGGTCTCAACGAAAGGAACCGTTTCCTACCAACTACTGCCCTTCTTTCGGTCCTCTTATCAAAGTACGGGCTAGAAGGGGGGGTGGGGTGGGAGGGGGAACTAGTTTTATCCTTCATGGTACTCTAATGAAAGGTCTCAACGAAAGGAATTAATTTCTACCAACCATAGCCCTCCTCCTCGACCTCTTATCGTGATCGGGTATATTCCCTTATATCTCAAGAACGGATTGTCGGAAGACGGTACTCACAAAGGGCGTTTGAGACGTCTGCAAGAAATATATCCATTGGTGATGTCAAAACAAAAGCTATTTCGGTTAAAAAAATGCGCTTTATCTGCACAATTTATACTTGTTTTGTTCGTTTTGTGACTGAAGAGTATTTTGTAGATCCTCGTTAGCCTAGACGTAATGACGTAAACTTTCATCGCCCCGACCGCATCGCTAATTAAACCGGTAATCGAAATTGGCCCGAATAATTAGTGCGGGTCGGCTCAATATCCATACCAAAGCGGACTGTAGTACATAATAATAGGACAGGTTACAAAAGAAGTGTCATTTAAATTCGAACAAGGCGTTTCAAAAGGATCCGAAAATACTAATAATTTTTTGTGACAACCGAAACCGACGCATATAAAACTAAAACGGAATGAAGATATTTTCATCGTTATTTATTATAAGAATGCGGTGTCGTTTATATCTTCAAGTTTACGTAAGCGATTGAGGGCGGTTCCTGGAACGGAACATCTTCAGCCCCGGGTCATTAATTACAACCGGGGGCGATTGGTCCCCAATTCGCTACCGAGGGCCGTGTTTACATGCGAAAGAATCGCGGGGAGAATTAGTAGTTAATCCATTTGCATGCTTGGTGGCTTCTTTTGGGGCCTAATCTCCGTTTATGAAGTGCTTCGCCCCTCGCAGGGTCCCTTCAAAAGAATGGAATCCTCGCCTTTTGTCAGACGAACGTGATATATTTATCACTGCGGATCGACCCTTATTCTGTGGCCGATTTGGCACTTGGTCCGAGCCTTTTGTGTTCGAAACAGTTACGGCCGAGATTAATGGTCAGGTATAAGCTTTTTTGACATGTTTTCAAAAGATAATCGTTCCTCGAACTTTACTCCCAATTTGAGTGTCGTAAATTTGCACCAACTTTCGAAATTCGTACTAATTGCTCTTAGCAGCTTGATTGAACGACGAACGGAAGGGAGAGAGAGGGGGGAGGGGAGCGAGGAGAAAAAGGTCGACGTAATTTATTTGAAAAGGTAACGAACAAGTACAGCGAGTTACATGCTCATTATTGAACCTGCAGTGTATGCTAATGTCTTAAGATGCTACCAGTGAGGAATGTAATGGTTCCTAAACACGCAACACCTCTTCTGCGACCGGCGGTGATGATACTTCTTTTTTAATTAAGCAATTTTCATATTCCATTATAACAATTGCTCATTAAAATACTTCACACTCGGATATTTGTATACACAACGCTACAAGGATTAATGAGCGTTTTAAGATAATTACCACTTTAAGCTATTAGTTAACGTAATAGAAGTGGCCTCGTACGCTCTGCGCTTTATTCTAATTCACTTCCCCCTTTCGTCGGACGAAACTCAAAATCGAGGAGAAAATTGCAAGAAAAACTTGAAATGGAATCAAAATGGCGGACTCGTTCCTGCCAGGACAGGCCTTTTAGTTCAGTCATTGGAGGAAGTAGTATTTTCAATTGGG